CCTTATGGGAGTTCGCGTCCTTGTTAATATTGAAGTGATTAAGAGTAAAAAAACTGATAATATTGTACTAATTTTATGATTTATTAGTTTAGTAGACATGTTTATCGGTGTACGTGCATTTAAAACTCAATAATACTCGATTTTTCTTTAAAAATTGTGATTTCAGTTTTATCGTCAAAGTTCAATTATCAACAGAGATAATAACTGCAGAGAATAAAATTGTAATTTTTCGGCAATATATAGGATATTGTAGCTTTACAAATATGCATATTTATTTATAGAGCATTTATGTAATAAAATATCATGAATTTAATAATGTATTAGTCAAATATTTATGTTAATAATAGCAAATTTATATCAATTGTCGATAATGTCAGCGTTCTTCGATTACCTCCGGACCCTTGGGGCCCTTTTTATATCGCCGAAAATTTACTCAGGGTTGACGGTCTTTAATAGTATAGCGGGGAGCACAGACTTTTGCATAACGCATAACATGTAATGCATAAGAAATTCAATCAATCAGAATTCTTTATTTCATGGAAAGGAAGGAAACGGAGAGCTTTGATTGGTACATTTTCTTATGCATTACGTGTTATGCGTTATGAAAGAGTCTGTGCTCCCCGCTTATCTCGTCGATGATAGGAGGAATAGTCGGCAGGCTTCTATCTTGAGGATTTAGTACAGACACGAACCACATCTACTTTCGACGATACGATTTTATCGATAGTGTCAGAAAATGTATGTAATCACGTAGTTCCCGAATTGAAAATGGAGGTCCTGGTGGTAATGTCCGGGCGATTTCGACGGTAACAGGAAAAAGGCTGTCATGACCCTCTTCTCAGGTTTCTCTCTGCTACTACCAAAAGTACTAAACTACACGAGGCAACGTTTTACGTGTGTACAAACGTACAGTGGTATATAGTCATATTAAACCACGTGTAGACTTGTAAAGTTACACAATATCTTGTACGATTACAGAGATGGCAAATTTTGCGATGCGAGAACTGTTTAAGTACGGTTGGGAGGAAGGTAAGAACTACGAATTTTTCGGTCCGAATGATGCAATGCATCATTCTCCACCACAAGGTGAAATTAGTGAACGAACAATTTACAATACATAATTTCTGGCTATATTCCGATATTCACTGCCAATGCTGAAGACGAGGGAGTACTCACTTACGAAAATGATTCCCGATTTCTTGTATTCATGGTTATTTCAACGTGATTGCAAAGTAATTTTATTTGTTTTCCGACAGAAAATTTGAGACGCGCGACCGAACGTACGACGATGTTTTTTTGTTCGATTTCAGATGATTTCTTGATTTCAATGAGGAATGTTTGACTGCCTTATTTACTGAATTCCTCGTTGATTTCGTAGGTAAGTAGCCCCTCGGGGGTATTCACCTACGAAAGTGATTTCAGATTTCTTGTATTCATGATTGTTTCAACGTGACTGCAAAGTGATTTATTTGTTTTCCGCAGGGTTGGTAAAAAATATGTTTTAAACGTGTTTTAGGCTAATTCTACAATGTGCTCTTTGTTTCCTGTTTCTTGCTGTTTGTCTCTTGCCTTTTGATCAAGAAGGCAAGAGACAAACAGCAAGAAACAGGAAACAAAGAGCATACTGTAGAATGGCTAACCCCGGATCTACAATAGGGTTTTAAGTCTTAAGAAATGGACGAATCACAATCGATTATTCCCCTCGGATTCGACTGTAATTGGTCAGTTTCTTACGGCTTAAGTCTTAAAAACATCTATTGTAAATCCGGACTAATCCGTAATCTGCACCGGATGTCTGCAAAGGTTACTAGGTATTGCGTCTGTAACATTGGCTGCGTTCAGCAGACTCAACAGTTTTGCAACCGTTTTATGATTGTCTGCTGAGATAGGACCATTCTTCTAGATCTAAAAGTATGATCCAATTAGCGCGAAGGAAACTTCCAACAGTTGCAAAACAAACGTTCTGCTGAACGCAGCCATTACGTGTGTTTTACCTCCTTGTGTCCCATGGAACCGTAAACCTATGAAAGTTCCGTAAAAATTACTAATTATTACCAGTAATGCTTTTTCTAATTTTATCTATTTGACTAAATTTGACGATTTAATTAAAACTTTTGTTATAATATGTATTATCAAAATATATTCTTTAATTTTCTTATAAAATAAAATAAAAATGAATAACTTCAAAAACAGTATAACTTTTTAAATAAAAAATATTACATTTACACGTCCGCATTTTGCAGCTCCATGGGACACAAGGAGCATGTAAGCACGCAACGCAATTGCAATCCGACGTCAAACAAAAATAAAAACGTGCCATAATCTACTTTTAATTTATAAATGATGATTAATTTGTTTGACAACAATTTTGAAATTAGAAGTGTATAATGAATCTTTGATATATGTTATTAGTGCAAATACAACAAATGGTCTGTTTTCTGACGTGCACTAGACTGCACTAGAACTCTCTTTTCACATTGCGGATTACGTGAGAAATATCTGCCGTACATACGCAATTCCTAGGTGCTTTTGCCGACATCCGGATTGCGAACTGTATGTAAGGCCGGAATCAGACTACGCATTGAAGATCGAGATTGAAGATTGAAGATTAAAATTTGACCAGTGAGGACAAAGGAATTTTAGCTCCTATTGTTTTAATTGGTCAAATTTCAATTTTTCAATCTCAATCTTCAATGCGTAGTCTGATTCCGGCCTTATGCCCGTGTCACACTACGCATTGGAGATTGAGGATTGCGAATTGTATATTTATAAATTTTCAGTACTGGCAGTGAATATCGAAACGCAACCTTCATCTATTTTGGGACTCATGTCAGTCCCGATTTCATCTCTTTTTTTGTATTCTCTTATCGTCTCTTATCCTTTATGAAACATGCTAACCAAGCGACGACAATATGAGGCAACGAAACTAAAGGCTTATTTTTTTTTGTGATATAGGAAAAGGATTAGGTAAAAATGAAAACGGCATAACGGAACCCATAAAACTTGCGACAAATCAGAATAAGGCTGGTATAGGATACGACGAAAACAAACCTTGGTGGGACACTTTGTATGATAATACCATTAAAAACATTAAAGTCGAGTCGTGCGGTGACGAGGTTTCTTTAATGACCGTCAATAATGTGGGTACTCCCAAAAGTAAACGCCATAATTTCTGGAAAAAATCTGTGGATTCCAGTCCGAACTTAAAGCTTAAAATGTTTCAAATAGAAGAATTTGGCTGTGATTCAGAGAGATTATTTAAGCATTATGCATGTATGAATCAAAAGGTTAGATTACATTATGACAAATCTATGCATGAACCAACAGAACACAATTTTACATCAAATGGAAAATTGGAAAGAATTTTACATCATAATGCATTATATTTAAATACTAACCCTCTGTTAAGTGATGCTTTGGTTGATCAAAAGAATGACGTAACGTGCAAAAATGCAAAATCAGAAATCGAGAAAAATAAGTACGAAGCAGAAAACGCAATTTTATCACAATGTCTTGAAGATACAAAAGATTTTGTTTTATTCAAAACAAAGAAACATAAAAAAAAATTACATAAATTAATTCAGCAACTAAGCACTTGTAGTTTAGAAGAGAATAATAATCAAAAGCAGAACTTTTTGGGTAGAAAGCTGTCTCAAAACATGAAGAAACATAAAGAGGAAAAAAATAATTTTAAAAAAGTACTACCCAATATATATGATTCAATAACTAATTCTAGTGCTAATAGTACAAATGAAATAAAAATAACAGGAGGCTTGTTCTTTCGACATGCAAAACTAATACAAGAGAAATTGCTTAGTAAGGTTAAAATAAAATCAATAGATCAGACATCTGATATTTTACCAGATGCGAAATTATTAGAATTAGAAAGATGTGAAAAGGAAAAAGATAGCACTGAGCATAAAGTAAACCAAAGTCTGAAAATGGGAAACATTGTGGTAGATAATAAGGCAAAGGAATCATTTAAAAAAGATTGTACAATAATTGATGTTGCAACGGAGACAGACAAGGAAAGAGAGAATCTTGATTGCAAGGCGATACTTCCGAGCAAGGCGATACTTCCGAGCAAGGCAATACTTCCGAGCAAGACAATACTTCCGAACAAGGCACCAGATAAAAGGATATTCAAGCGCAACATCTCAAAAATAGAAGTTAAAAGTCAATATAACAATCTGATAGAAAAAATAGATGGCGACTTCCACTTCCTAAGAGTCAACAAAAAAATACAAAAAAAGAAAAATCTACAACCCCATTCGAAAAAAATTAAGAAAATTATCGAAAAACTGAACGCTGAAGCTTTGGCAAATGAATTAAATTCTGTAATAAAAAATTTAACAATATGTAATATTACTGAAAAATTGAATGCAAATACCGTTAAAAAGAAATTCGTAATACCCACTCAAACTCATCTTATGCCTGTTTAAAAAGAAAAAAAAATACAAAAATAAGATATGAAAATATGAATGTACTCGAATATTTCAATAATTTTTTTGTATGTTTATATTTTCACGATATTTTTATGATATAAATTACAAAAATGATGCATAAAATGTAATTTCACTGTGCTAAAAACTTTTTAATGATAGCTTGAAATTATACATACTGATAGAAAAATATGAATGTATTATTTAATACTCATTTATCGAATTATTCGCTCATTATTCATATGATTTTTATTTTAACAAAAACTTAATTGAAAAACTATTTTTAATCTTCTATATATAATCATATGCCGAATATATACATTTTTTCTACAGGAATTTATTAAAATGCAATTATTTTCAAAAATTGTAAATATATTTTAGTTGCGTATTTAATTATACAAATTTATTTATGGATATTATAATTCCATAAAATATGCAATTAAAAATAAATATTAATCATTATGATTATTATCTATGATTGCCTTTCCAATAATGAACAATATTTCGTAGATATCATGTATGCATGAGTCACATTATGATCCCACATGATGTAAAGCTTTACCATTGTTGTAATATTTATTAGTGCCAAGACGTTGTATCTCCAGATAGTGACTATGTTCTGTAAATTCACGCATTTCATTCTAATCTCTTAAGAAAATTAACAACTGTATTGAAGTTTCTAAACAAAATCAATTATAACAACTGTAAGTTGAGATAAAGGTTAATAAAATAATTCGTTTCACAATTATTTTTCATATTAAAGTTCAAAATTGCCAGTACTCAAAACCTATAGCGCATGTAATATAAATTATAAATTTTCAATTCTAGTAGTATATTTGGAACACGACCTAGTCGTTACAAACATGTATTCGCGATAGTATGTCATATCTGATTACAAATGTCAATTAATATAAAATTCATTAATTTATATTGTTAAGATCAGCGTTTATAAGGAAAGTTCCTATGTAAGTAAAACAAATGCAATGCCTGTATTATATCTGTTTTATATAAAACATTCATTCGATATATGTATTTTTAATAAATAATATTTGCATCAAAGTTCTTTTGTTTTTTTTTTATTCGAAATGCAACATAACAATATTTACATTTATCTTACGCACAATTCCTGTTGTATGTACATACGTTTAGACGAATGTACAAATCGATGTCCTTTTCTAAAGGCGATTAGAAACGCTTTCACAGAGATGTAAATAACATATTGGTACTATAGCATAATATAAAATGATGTATCTAATTTTTTCCATAAACGATCATCAAAATTTTTGAATCTCGAAAGGGAAGAGCCCAAACAACACAAAGTCTCTTAAGAGGCTTAGACGTTTTTAAATCGTCTTTTAGACGCAAAAAATGTCTTATGACCTGATTTTAGACACTTCTTGTTACATGGAAGGTGTATCTCTCGCGGCTGACTTATATTCCATGTAAAGAATGATAGAAGTTCTAAAATGATGGTACATTGTATTACATTCGTGTAATGTATTTTTTGCAAATTTATATCAATAATTTTATTACAACTCGCCAAAACACATTCAGATAGCACCGAGTATTATGATGACTTAGCAGAGATTAGCGGTAAAAAATTTAGCGTCAAATCTATTCTTATAAAATAAAATTAATTTTCTAAGGCCACTAGGGTATTCCGTAGAATTCATTTCAATTATCTTTACTTTAAGTTACTAACGTTTCGTCGTCATGGATTAAAGAATATATCAGTTTTAAAGCATACAACGATTTTACTATCGCAATTTCTTTGCTATCTCAGTTTCTTAATCATTCTGATATGTGACATAAAATGATATACGCGGTGTATTACAAATTTCGAATTATACTTATACTAAATTATAATAAGTCCCTATTAAAATTCAGATCGAAGATTCTAGCAAGTATTAGGCTATATCATCAAGCTCTTAATATTTATCTTAATGATCTATCTATCGCTATCTTTTACCAAGTACATATATATATTTTTCTAATTACAATGCGATTTTAATAAATGAATTTTCATTTAATGAATAACATCGATTGCATTATGGATTGCAAATTGTATGTTATTCACGACTATAATGCTTGGAAACTATAAAATGCTGCTTAGCATTTATTTATTTAAGAAAAAGGAATAAAATTATCGTGTTACATCTTTTAATGTTCGTTCAGTTAATTTACGATAAATACTTTGGTGTATAATTGCCGGAGTTTAATGAAAAGTATAATTTATATATGTCTAAAACGTTTCTGTTTTGAAAACAAAGCTTTATATGTTCTTTCAATTTTTTATCTGAAATAAAAATATAAAGCAAATTGAAATATAACAAAATAATATTTTTCTATGTTATAATTTATAATTGTTCTATTAATATTAATTTAAATACTAACGAATTTATATATAAAATAACAATTTTATTTGCGATTTTATGAATAAGAGACGGAATCTTGAAATTACGTTGTTAGCACAAGCCATTTTTGTTTAAGTCACTATTTTTGTTTAAATAGAAAACAATATCTATATCTTATGTTACTAAATTAAGGAAGCAATTTTTTCGTATTTAAACAATAAATATCAATAGGTGGTCAAAATTTAAAAACGGAAAGATAAAGGGCATATACCACGAATGCAAGATGTTTTTAGCGAAGTTTATATTTAATTCCAACACACACACACACATATAATCGGGTTACAAATTATTAGCCGTTTCGGCCTTAAATTAGGCCATCTTCAGTATATAAGAGTTAAGTATAAAAATTCTTTTCACACACAAATGTACGACTAATCTAAGCTAGTTATCTCCTAACATATCTAAATATTACGCAAAAACGCTTGTTGAATTTGTTTTTCCTTATTCTTTAATTGTTAGTCAAAGAGTTTCCAATAATATCCAGAGAATTTCGTCTTTTATTCCAATTTTTTCGATATTCCAAATGTTTGTAATAAGTTGTTTATTGAACGCAAAATTTTCAGATTCTGTGTTCCAGTCAACTTGTGAAGATTAATATTAAAAGTGGATGTAATAAAGAATTAGTTAAAATGTTCTGCCCAAAGAACTAGGGCAATTCAACGAGCGTTCTTGCGTAATATTTAGACATGTTAGGAGATAATTAGCTTACAAGGGAACCTCTCGAGGTGTCAAATTCTGATTTTAATGAAACTTTGTGAACTTGTAGCTTACATAAAGAGATGAATTTAGAAAATATCAGTTGCGGCTAAAAAACGGATTGAAGGGGTGAAATCACCCTTTACGTGTACAGCGGTTTTCAGCTTTTTCCGTTATATCTCGAAAACTATTTGAGATAAAAAAAAATGTTTTATACAAAAGTTTTACAACAAAATTAGCTGTATTCAATCGCGTTTTTAGAATAATTATACAAAGTTTCATTAAAATCAGAATTTGACACCTCGAGAGGTTCCCTTGTTAGATTAGTCGTACATTTGTGTGTGAAAAGAATTTTTATACTTAACTCTTATATGCTGAAGATGGCCTAATTTAAGGCCGAAACGTCTAATAATTTGTAACCTGATTATATGTGTTGGAATTAAATATAAACTTCGCTAAAAACATCTTGCGTTCGTGATATATACCCTTTATCTTTCCGTTTTTCGTATTTAATTTGTGTATTATATGTGCTTAGGAAACAAAGCTATTTAGGAGAAATTCTGAAATAGATTAATAATATTATAATACTATTCTTATATAAATAATTTCGCGTAAATATGTGGAAGCAACAGTATTATATTTGTATTAAAATAAGGAGAGATTTTGTGAATAGCTTCCATTTTGATCACAAGGTATTCAGCTATTATAGAATATTAGCGAAATTATATCACGCAGAAAATTTTCTATATTACATATATAAATAATTATCATTAGGAAATGTCAATCAAGAAGTTTAACATTCGGAAAAATTGTTCATGATACAATAATACTCTTCTTCCTTTTACCGTTTTCTTGTCATGTTTACATAAAGAGGCGAAAAAAGATAATGTAAATTATGTAAAAGATCTAATTGACAGTGTACCCTTAAATACTACTTTGGTTTAAATAGAAAAATATACAAAACCTTCAGAGTGTCGTTTGTCACGATCATGTACCAATTGCACCGATATTAGATAATATCAATGTATATACTAATTAACTAATCAATGAAATTTTCTGTTTCCGTTCATCATTTGTGAAATTGTAATCCGTAAAAAAAATATTGAACCATTAATTAATATTCAGTTAGACTGCAATTATCGGTGCAAATTGGCTGTAGTCTTATAAAATTTAAAAACTTAATATTAAACGTAAACTAACAACGGAAATTGGACACAGCCTAATAGAATCGAAGATTTGCGAAAATTCATCGATTAAATCTTTGTTTAAAACGAAATAAACAATTTGCACAAATAAAAAAATAATTTGTATAAATGATAGAAAGCAACCAACAATATTTCGATATTTGTAAATAAATTTATAATTAAATAATTAGGAATCAAATTCCATAAGGAATCAAAGAGAATTTCCTCGAAGTTTTTAGAAATTCATACCTTATCTTTCTTCTCATCTATTCGATTCCACTCGCGCTTAGAAGAAAACTCGATAAAAAATTAGTCTTATAATATAAGGAATCAACGTTATAAAAAGTACATTTAAACACACTTGTTTATAGTTTTTCTTTTAAAGACATAATAGCCAGCATTCCTACCGCTTCTGCTCAACGTGATCGGTTTTCTATCAATACGAGTACGATTGCTGCACGAAACACTCGTGTTGTTCATTTTTACCCAAATCACATACATATTGGACGCACTAACCTTATGCGTAGTAATCGCGTTCCTAAGAACGCAGGGATCTAATTTGCGAGGTGTATAACTGAATGCAGGATGATTCACGGGCCGGACTTTTGCGCGTTTCGCGCATAAACCCGTAACATAAACGTCCTCCAAGTGTAGCAACGGTGTTACCAACGCTGCTTGATATAACTTAGATGCCACACCTATACTCATAACATACC